GGAAGGCCAGGAGAATTTTAAATATCGGTTTCGTAATTAGGAATTATACACTGTACAAGCGTCTTATAATTATTTGGAGATGTTTGACAATTAAATGTTTAGCTTTATTTCATGGCTATTTATTTAGTTCTAAGAATGATAAAATCCGATTATCTTTATTACAAAATAAATGACAAAAAAACTTTTAACTTTTTATTATGATTTTTGTAAATAACACGAATATTCCTTTGAAGCTCCGAAGCTCTGAACAGAAACCTTTGATGGTATAATTAAATACACGCCATATTTTTAAACTTCTTATCATATTATTTTCAGCTGCTATAACTGTACTGAATAATTTTCACAGTGACTTTTTACAAATTCTGTTATTGTATTCTTAAATATGAGATATACTAGCGGAACAAGCATAAAACAAAATGGCGGCACTCAAAACAAAATGGCGGCACTTAAAACAAAATGGAGAGTCACAACACGTGGTAAAATTGTACTCTAACCTTCAGAAAGAAGCTGTAGAACCATATATTGAGTCTGTAGAACAGTTTGTTGTTACTTTCCGCTAGGCTACTCCACTTTAGATTAGATTTGTTTGGATTAGATTTGATTAGGTTTTGATAGAGTTGATTATATTTCATGAGAATTATAGGATGTTAGCTTTTAATAGATTTGATTAGATTACATAAGAATATTATTTTAAAGGGACTATACAGGAAAAATGAAAGGGGGGTATAGGCTGAAAGATATTCTCTTTAGCTCTTTATCACGACCCATGAAAGTTATATCTGATGTTCTTGTCTCGAGAAATTGATATAAAACTGTGTCAAATTTATACGAAAATTCATATATATACAGAACTACCATTGGTGAGAATTCTGATGATTTCATACGTACTTTAAATAATATTATCAATAATATCTATTAAAAATTAAAATTAAAATCATAAATAATAATTGGAGAAACCCTAAGTTACAATGAGGTTTCTCTGGGATATCTTCGTTTTCAGATTGGTTGCGTATTTGCTGAATATGGTCTGTTTTAACCTACCATTTCTATACTAAATTGTATTTATATGAATTTTCGTATAAATTTGACACAGTTTTATATAAATTTCTCGAGACAGGAACATCAGATATAACTTTCATGAGTCGCGATTAAGAGCTAAAGTGATTAGCTTTCAGCCTATACCCCCTTTCATCTTTCCTTTACAGTCCCTTTAAGTTATATTGAATTTTAATAGATAAGAACAGATTTGGATAGGGTAAAATAGATTAGATTTGTTCAGTGTACACAGTACACACTGTAAAGTACACAGTACACACTGCACAGTACACAGCACACAGTGTACAGTAGAAAGAAAACTTTTTCCAAAGTTTAAAAATAATTTATTCCGACGATTCTCTTTTTTCTTTTTCTTTTGTTAATCTAAATACAAATTGGAGACTAAAGAAAGAAAATGTTAGTTTCAGCAGATTTCTTTCTTATTATACTTGATGAATACACAATAAATGTATTTAGGTTTAGTACGGGGACATATTAATCAACACTTAATATTTCGTATTTACATATATGAAGCCCCCAATGGTAATAAAAATTAAGGTATTAAAGAGACAGTAAAGAAAATTTCAAATGTAAAGATGGCAATGTCCGATTAACAACGGCATCTTTCAAAGCTTTGTCTGATGATCAAGTATGCATTAGATATCAATGTTTATAAACTAACTTTTTTCCCTGATGGGTTCTGTACTGCAGGAACACTTATGTGAATTAAACACTTTTAAAGCTAGAAAAAAGACAATATCTTCCACATTAACGATAGTTAAAAGGTTTCAAGGGCACCCATTGTGAATCGAGCAGTGCCATCTTTGCTTGGAGGGTCACTTGAAATTACGCTTACAATCCCTTTACAATTTGAAGTTGAGGAAAAATCCACTAATGTAGACTCTGCAAATTACAGATTTGTTAAATTTACATCTTTGTGAAAGATGGGGGGGGGGGAATGGACTCTCTGCATTGAAATAAAACTGAAAATTAACTTACATTGAGAACATAAATGGTGACGTTTCTGCCGGTATCGGTGGGTTGAATCTGCTCCTGTATTGAGTTCGCCAAGAAGTTTGGGATGGTCAGGATAATCGGAACAACTAGGGGGGGAAAAGTTATTTTCAATTGTTTGAATATGTTTAGAATTGTCCTGGGAACAACAGTTTTGTTCTATTGTGTATTGTATAAGGTTGGACAATTTTCCGTTAACAAACAGCAATTTTTTTTGAATTAACGGCTGACACTGTTAACGATTCCAACAATATCTTCCGTTAACGCCGTTTGTAAAATTGAACACATAAACAAACGGAAACTTAGGGAAGGAACAGAACGGAACGATCTAAGAAACGAACAACTACCAGAAAAACCGCGCTAACAGCTTTTTTAAAAGTCTAAACGTGCCCAGTCTTAGTATTGAATATGCCCGCTTTGTGATAAACCGGTTTCCTCCTGTATTTCCCGCATTTTGGAATTTGTGGAGATTGTCTCATATTAAATTTTCATTACAGAATTATTAGATAGTAATAGAAATAACAGCAACAATCGAATCAAAGTTTTATCTAAAATACACATTTTTCCTTATGTAAACGATCAAGAAAAGATACGAGAAATTAGCTATGTATAAGATTTTTATATAATTAAACATGTTATTTTAATTTGTGATCAATGACGTCATGCTTCCCTCATGACGTATTTTTCATTGAAAATTGTATTTTATTTAGACTTAGTTAATCACTCTTTGGCCTTTTATTCAGTCAAATGAATGCATAATTCCATATTTTCCTTTAAACTTAATTAGCTTATGTTTGGTACCTAATATTGTTCATATTTTATTTTTGTTTTTGCAACTGGAAATTTGTAATCAAGTACATAATTCATTATAAGAGTACCATTTATCCTACAGAATGAATATCATTCATATATTATTTATTATTATTTTAATTTAAGAATGGGCGTGACTGCTAAATTTTAAACTTATAAATGTGTATTTAACTTTTTTTTACAAGAACAGTCCATTTTAGAAAAAAATGTCTACTTACTGTAGCCCATGAGAAGAAGCATTTTACACCGAGGGATAGTGCAGAGGGTCACTGCCAGGACATGATGCTTAATCATGATATATCTAAACAGGTTTTCATGTAAACATAGTTCTAAACAGGTTTTCATGTAAACAAAGATTTAAACAGGTTTTCATGTAAACATAGTTCTAAACAGGTTTCCATGTAAAAATATATCTTAACAGGTTTACATGTAAACATATATCTAAACAGGTTTTCATGTAATCGTATATCTAAACAGGTTTTTATGTAAACATATAGTTAAACAGGTTTTCATGTAAACATATATCTAAACAGGTTTTTATGTAAACATATATCTAAACAGGTTTTCATGTTAATATGAGTACAAAGGTTTTATGAAAACATATATCTAAACAGGTTTGGATACATTTAGTAAGTCCATAGAAACAACGGAAGAGAAAGACGACATTTAAGCAATCTTATGTGTATTTAATGTTGCACGAAAGAAATAGTTTTACAAGTATCTTGAAAATCAACTTGGGTCTCTGTTCAGTGTACAGTACACTGCACAATTGCGGTTTTTATCTAAAAGTCGTCTTCCTTTCTCCCCCTGTATACGCTTACCTCCAGATAGCTAGAGAGAGGGTAAGCCAGATGGATACGTTGTGTATGATGATGGTGAAGTTGACATGGAACCAGAGGAACACCCCCCACCCCCAGGAGTACTTATCTTCTACCGGTCTTGAGTCCTGTTTTTTGTACAACTGATTTTTATATAGTATTTTTATAAAACTAAACCATTAACAAATTTTAACTCATTCTTTCAAACTGTATTTAGGGTGACAAAATTCATAAAATATCATGTTGCAAAGATATACGGATTTTGAGGAGATTAATCAGTTCTTTGCCCTATCGAAGTCTTTGTTACAGTGGTAGGCGATTATATCAATACAACAACGGCATGGATATTGGATACACAAAACATAGTTTTCAAGAGAAGCTGTCAATTAAAAAAGCTTATGTTTGATTACTTGTAAACTTGTAATTCGAAAAAAGCTTGTTAACAGTCAAAACTTAAACGAAAAAGTCGTCTTCACAGTATATTGATATAATCGCCTACATATGAGCAGCTGTTTGCTTTAAAGGTGTTATTACCAAAAAAAAAATATTATCAATTGCATTAAATCAAACAAACAAAAAAGAATTAGTTTTTTTCGTTTTTATACTTTTTCCTCAATTCAGGGAATAAAAACCCTCAAACAAATTTCAGGAGAAAATAATTTTTCAGGAGCATTTACACCACTGAAAAATTGGATGGCTTTATTTATGCAAATATATGGAGATATAAATTGTATTGTTCAAAATATGATGGGTCCATGATGGATTGTAGGTAGAAAGATTCTATCCACAATTTGGCCGAGAACATTAATCATTTTTCAAGGTTTTATATATTGAATGAAAGCAACATCTGCATTCTTTACGACAAATTTTTTTAAATAACACTTTCTTATCTTCCTGGACAATGACGGAAATTTACAGTATACAAATTGTGTATTTTTTTTGTTTTTCTAAACATTTTAACGTTGGTACACCTTAATAAACTATGTTTCTACACTACAAAAAATATTCGCCTCCCACCCCATTTTTTACCAAAATACGCTTTTTAACCTTCTAGTATCAATTATAGCTTTAAATTGTTGATTCTTGGGCGAATTAACACTTTTTAAGAAAAACTATGATTTCGACTAAAAAAAGGCTTGTCTATGGTCTCTTAAAGGGACTGTAAGCAAAATTACAATTGACCGACAAAAAGATGGCAAAGCCTGAGTTACAACGGTACCCTTAATAGCTTTGATTGATCTAGTATGAATTATATATCCTAGTTAATGTTTCTTTAAACTGTTTACTTTCATTTGCGGTTTATCTGCAAGAGTGTCTTGTCTAGAAATTAACAGAATTTATCACTTTTCAAGTCAAAAAAAACGACAATATCTTTCACCTTGTTGATCAGATATTTTAGGGTTTATGCGTACAGTCCCTTTCAGAGATGTCAAGTTACCTCATCCAGGAGGTTCATGTGCACCACGAAGGGGATGTATTCCAACATCACCATGACGTCAGCTACCGCTATTCCTAAAAACATGTTTTTTTAGAAAAATTTAATTTGGAAATTCTTTAAACTCTTTATTATTCTAACGTGATGATATGCAAACATGGTTTAAAGAAAAATGGAATCATGTGGTTTAATTAAAAAAATATTTTCAAAAAACCAGATTCATTTTTCAGTCCAAGGAAGGTTTAAAGGGTGTGACCGGCAATGTATGGACTGGAGGTTGTACTGAGTATGCAGTATAGTTATGGATCATTTCGTTTAGGATTCATTTGAGACATATAAAACTTTTCCACGATGTATAATTACTGAGTTTGAGTGCATAGTCGACCTTCAAAATTATGAATTTGGGTAGGTATGTTTTCAGAATCAGTTTTTTATAATTATTAACTAACGAGACGAAAAATAAAGTAAAAATTATAAAGTAAGCTAATTAAATGTTTAGGAACATATTTCTCGAAAGATATTTGTCAATAAATTAATGTTAGAATCAATTATTTCGTTTTCATCATTATATTGAATTTCTTATTTTCTTTGAATTTATTCGCAGATTTCTACAAATTCTTCAAATGTCGTCTTTTCAATCAAAATTCCAGAAAATCCACAGAAAATCTTTTTGAATAATGAGAGATTACAGAAAATAATAATTTAATAAGATTACTTATTTGCGATGATAAGAGTTAATTTTTATTTTCTTAACCTGTTCCTAAACAACTAATCAGTTTACTGCAGAATTTTGTTTACATTTTTTGTCGTCGTTATTTAATGATTAAAGAAACGATTCTAAAAACGTACCCAACCAAATTTATGATTTTGAATCAAATAAATCAACGAAAAAGAAGATTTTTTTTTCATAAAAGATAACATTTTCTCAGAAGAAAATACGAGGGAAAACAAAGATTTGTTGAAAAGATTTGTAGAACAGATGTGTGGAACAAATACAGAAACGAACTAAATACGAACTCTTTTTTTATAATTCATAATATTCATAATAATATCTTTCAGTTTCTTCAGAAAATTTTGTAGTATTTCATACGAAATAAAACCATTAATTGACTTTATTATTCTTTGTTTTGTTTATTTCACTATTTTTGTATGCAGAAACTTAAATTGCATGGTTTAATGATATCTCAGTGCAGGTTGAAACTAATAATGTGTGTTTTATAAAAGTATATAAAAATGTCCGATATTGTTTTGTTTGATCCAAATATATCAGCATTTTACACGTTGTGGATATAAATTGATGTTGATATAAATCTTTAAGGGACTGTACGCGTAATTCCAAGTGTCCTTCCAAGCAAAGATGACAATGCCCGAATTACAACAATACCCTTGACTCCTTTATTCGACCAATAATGAGGAAGATATTTTCGTTTTCTAGGTTTAAAACTGTTAAATTCTAATTCCTTTTATAAATTTTCCTGCAGTAGAAATGCGCAAATCACTTTTTTGTAGAGAACCCCCAATTGAAAATTTTAAACATTGCTTTTTTTCATAATTGATTAGACAAACCTTTCCAGAGAATTGTCGTCTTTGCATGAAGGTTCTCTTAAAACTACGGTTGCAGTCCCTTTACACATATTGTGGATACATTGAATATATATTGAACCAAGGTTGTATATTAAGGTTTGATTTTCTGGATGTGCTCCAATGTACCAGAATATAAATGTCGTCTCCATAGCACTAGAAACTCAAAATCCTCATATGACGTAACTGATTATGACATGACAACGTTTCCTAGTGAGGAGGGGAAGGAGTTTCTTAGCTCTTTACAACTGAGAGGAGGAGAAAACCCTCCCCCCCCTCATCTTCCAACAATAATCATTAATTGTCATATGAGAATTTTGACAGTCCATTGTTATGGAGACGACATTGTCCGTTCATTGGCGTGCATGGAGAGTATCTAACTCATAAACAACCTTGTAAAGAACTGACCTGTTAGAAGAAGATTGATTGGATTCCCCCGCATATCCTTGTGAGAGAGAACCAGGACATTCATCAAGTTAAACAGGGTGCCCAGGATACACACAACCAAACCCAGATATCCATGGATGGGTTTGTATCCATCCTAGAACAATATCCTTGAATTAATTCAAGACTACTCTTGGAAGAAAAAATTACATTTTTTTCATAAATATTGAATATATATATATATATATATATATATATATGTTTAATAATCTATATAAGTTAATGTCTATCTATTTGTATTTATATTTGTATATCCGATCATAACTCAGGAACCCTTTCGCCAATTTGATTCATACTCTGATTGGATAACTCATTATAACCAAAGGCAAAGCTGGTTTCCAAAGAAATTATCCGTTGTTGTAAATTCAAGTTCTATCATTTTTGATCAGAAAAAAAACTTTTAATGTTACTGTTGTGAATTGCGGATTTCAAAATATTTTTTCCGCATTTTAAAATTTTACTGAATTAAATAATTTCAGATAAAAATATTTTCAGATTACATAATTAAAGTCTGATAGGCCATAAAACTTCCCTGGGGCCACGTGAGGCCCGATCGGTTCAGCCGTTTTTACGTTTATTGGATACAAACAAACAGACACCCAGACAAGCTAAATTTATATATAGATTATACGTCCTTTTAGTAACATTCTATAGATCTTTTCGTTTAAGAAGAATATATATATAAATGTAAATATATATAAAGATTAGAGTCCAGATAATCAATTATAGCTTTGTTGGCCCAATACTTTTATATTGTTTTGGATAATTGATAATATAGACAATGAATACATGATTCGGTGATTATATATACATACAATACAACTAGCCTGAGAGCCCAGCATTCCTCTCATAGTTACTCCCGTCGTTTACCCGCAGTTGGTCTTAAATTATGATTTAGAATCTCAAATCAGAATTTCAAAACCAAGCTAGAAGAACATTCCCCTGATTCTAACAATTTTCCCAATCAAAATTTGAAGAGGCTCAAGAGGTTCCTGAGTTATGATCGGATGTCCAAAAAAACAAACAGATAGACACCCAAACATAGATTACTACTTAAGTTTATAAATATTGATACAGTGGTATACGCTGCATAATATAATGTCTAAATAAAAAGAAAACAGATTTTTTTTTGTTAAAAGCTGAAATATATTTTGAGGATAAAGATTTTAATAAAGCTGCAACCAATAATTATATTTTTTAGTTATGATTATTAATACTTTTTTACTAAAAAAGCCTCTCAAACAATTTAAATATTATAGTCAATGTTTTTTTTTAAATTAAAACAAAACACATATGCTTATTTTCACAGATAAATTAAAGGATAAAATATGAAATAATTTTCCCACCGGTTTCTATTTCTGACATTGAATGAATGCTAAAATTGTTGTTAAAAAAAGAGCGCTGAGGACTCTAGCTTAGCAACTTAGAAACATCTTAAAACTTATACTGCAACTGCAGAGGTATTAACCCTAAACATTTAGTGTGGGGGGGCATTTGAGCCCCCCCCTCTAGTTTTTTTTGCTCTTTAATGGACAGGTATATAGGAGAGCCGTAAAAAAAGTGGTCCGTGTAAAAAAAATCTAAAGCTACTGATCTAAAAAGTACACTTTCGAAAATCTCTTGAGCTGGCCTTGACAAATTGAGCTACGAACATGGATTGCAACCTTTACTCTCAGGGGTTTTATTAGTGTTGGGTGGAGGGCGCCCCCTTTGACTATACACAGATTCAGACCCCCCCAGCTTTTATAGGGTTTATGATTAAATAGAAGAAACAAGAGTGTGCACAGGAGTTCTATGGAATTAATTATAAATGAGAAAACAGTGAACAGTTCATTCAACAGTAATTCATTTTAGAAATAATTAAATTCCAGGATTCAAGAAACTGCAGTTGTAAAAATAGTTTATACATTTTCTTGATTAAACAAACAGAAAAGGACAAATCTAAAAGTTTTATAAAATAAGAAAAGAAAAAATCTATAAAAAATTTATTTTTCGTTTTTTGTTTCAACGTTTTTCTCTGAAAATCTTACAAATGCATTGAAAATAAAATATAAATTTACTGTTTCAAAAAAAGTGGAATATCTAATTCACAACAGTACTCTTCATTTTTCCATCTTAAATAAATTTTAAGATGAAAAACTTAAACCCTTTAAACATTTATTAGTTTAAACTTGCTTACCGACCTAGTATAGTCCGTTTTAAGCATTAACTATTTATAATAATCATGATTCGTTAGAGAAAAAAAAGGGTGAGATTATTTTTCTTCATTCGTTTGTTAAACCTACTGATGTAGATATTTAGTTTTTTTAATTAAATAATTATATACAGCTGTTTAAAACTGTCTCTGCATATTTCATGGCAATTTTTTTATTTCATAAATACAGGTATATAGGTATAATAGTATAATAGTATAAAACCAATTGAAAATGGTCAAGACGACATTTTATAAATTCTTTCGATGTCTTCGAAGTTCTGGGTTGCTCTGAGTCTTGAAGGGCACTCTTATTAGAAGGATCCCTTCAAATTGAGTTATTCCTCCTTCTATTTGTAGAAAACATTTAACGGAATTGAGTCTTTGGAACAAAATCAAATATTTAAACCTCAATATCTTTAGAACTCGATGGTGTAAACCTTTGATATTTCAAACTCAGATTATTTGATCTAACAGAATTCATAGTTTGAAATATCTAAGGTCTGCAACATTTGGTTCTAAAGATATAGTGATTAGAAAATCAGAGTTTGTGGCAAAGACTCAATTTCTTTAAAAATTTACTCTTTTACATCTGAAGTTAAACTTACCCTAAGTACTTGGAAGTTACACATCGGTGGTTCTTCATCTTCAGAATCATTTTGAGCAGACACATCTAGTTCTAGTCCCGTGAAGTTCTCAAAGTACTCGATATCGTCCGAGTCGAGTGTCTCAAACATGCTCTAAACATTGTGTACATTGTTAAATATTTCAAACAGTTTTCTTTTGACTATAAGGACATACTCGTGACATATTACTTGGTTTAAGGACATACTCGTGACATATTACTTGGTTTATCGGCGTTTCGCAAATTCTATTATTCTATCCCTTGGGACTATTGGGTAAGAAATCTCGCTTTGCAAAGGTTTTTGTGTTTCTACATGGATTTCATGTCTAAAATTGTATGCAGTAATTCTTTTATTTGTTATTCCTTTAAAATATCTTAGACCGCGATATAAATAAGGCTCTTTATAAACCTCCATCGTTGAGCTTTGTATGCAAATTCTCAGCAATTGGTTTATAAATCATTTGCACGAGCTCATAAAGACGAAAATTGTATGTCATTTTTTATATTACGGTCGGGGAGTGGCATACAAATTTGTCTTGGAAGAAAATTTGAAATTTGTTTTTATAATACAAAATTAATGCATGGGAAAAGGGTTGAAATTTTCATAGTAAATATTCAGCAAAACCTTGATATATATCTTCAGAATAAGGGGAATAGGGAAAGATGGGGTTAATGAGGAGTGAGGGTAGAAAATGAGGGATGAGGGTGGATAATGAGGGGTGAGGGTAGAAAATAAGGGGTGAGGGTGAATAATGAGGGGAGAGGGTAGAAAATAAGGGGTGAGGGTGGATAATGAGGGGTGAGGGTAGAAAATGAGGGATGAGGGTGTATAATGAGGTGTGAGAGTGGATAATGAAGGATGAGAGTGGATAATGAGGGTTGAGGATGGAAAATGAATGATGAGAGTGGATAATGAGGGGGATAATGAGGTATGAGGGTGGATAATTGGTTTGAGGGCGAGGGGTGAAGGAGGATAATGAGGAGAATTGGTAAATAATAATGGGTGAGGAATAATAGTTATGAATAAAGGGGTAAATAAGGGGTGTGGGATGTGAAGGGAGAAAAAGGGGTAGGGGATAATGAAGTATATATAGATGACTTTACAGAATAAAAATGGTTTAATCTGAATAAAATAAATCTCAAAATGTTGGAAGAAAAGATTTATGGACATTTGGAATATTCTTCTAATCTTCTTTTACCGAGGTATTTTCTATTCAAAGTGAAGGAACACATTCTTAAAATATTTAAAACAAAGATTTTACTTTTTAAAATAAAATTTGGAGACAAATTGGGCGTTTAGAGCCAACATTTCTTCTAATAGTTATGCTAAGATAGCATTAAGAATAAGAAATTTTTCGCGGATTACTGTTAAATTTGATAAAAAGAATTAAATTAAAATATTTTAGCCTTGCTCTAAAGATTTCTTCTTATATTTTAAGTTGCTTGTTTGTTTCTTTTTAAATACAGGGTTACTCACAAAGGATGAGGCTTTCCAGACTACTAAACGAAATTTACTCAATCTTTATTCTTACAATCTTGGTGCCATGAAATTGTAGGCTTATTTCTTTCATTGTCCAAATTTTTAGAATATTATTTAAGAACTATATAATTGCACGCGTGAACGCGTGTCCAATCTTTAAGAATATTATATAAAAACTCAATTTTCAGAAAATTATATATCTAGAGTTGCATATCATCATCAAAGTCGCATCCTGTATATTAAGGTAGCAAACATCGCTCTGTTACTTAACCCGTCATTGCTGCGACGCTTGGCCCCTGCGAATTTTTGCTGTAAAAATATCATGTACGGTTTAGGCCTTCCGTGGGAGTAGGGGCTGTGGGTCCAGAATTTTCTACTTCACAAAATGTCTGTTTAAGACAAATTTAATTATTTTCCATGTATCGTAAAAATCATCGAAAAAAGTTGACAACAATGCATTATAGTGTCTGAAGTCTCAATAATTTTTGTAATCCCTGTATATTTAGTTTGTTAAGTGTGTTAAGTGTGTTAAGAAGATTTGAAAGTTAGTAAGTTAGTTCGGAGTTAGTCTAGTATAACAGAGGAGCGGGGGGAGAAAATCTTATTCTAGTCATTACATTTATAGATAATCGAGTAATATACAGGTTTGTTAAATAAATTTTAGTTAACCAAGGGTTCTCAAAACTGAATTGGTCCAGGGAACCCGTGGTTAAGTACAATTTTTAATTTCTTGAAAAAAGAAGCTTTATACAACTTAATCGTATTTTTAGATAAAAAATCGCGTTTTTGTCATAAAAAAAATCGCAGAGCAGGTAGTTTTTTAACTTTATTGTCCCAAGGGAGGGATATATTAAGTAACTTTGCTTCCTTGTGTTTGGTAAATCATGGGTCAGTAATTTTGGCTAAAAGGCGGTAATTAAAGAAAAATAATATCATTAATTGTTTTACGAAAATCGCGCGTAAGTTTGCGACTGTGACCGATTTAAAAAAAAATATGCATTCAATCCTTAATTGTTTTTTGGTTATTACCGTATTAAATAGGAAAAAGAATTGCTTCTTTATTTTCAGTTGAAAATATAATTGTACTATAGATGAAGCTGTCAGAATTCAACCCACGACAAAGCCTTGAAAAATATGTTGTTTTTTTTCTTTCATTTATAATTCTAAATGATAAATAGAAACATCGTTTGTCTATATAAATTCAAGTGCAATAATTACATATATTTTCCTTAAAAAAAAAACATATTTCATTCATTAAATTTGTACAGTTCCAATCATTTTGCAGGTATGAATTTTTAAACTCGAATTTAGTTTTATTCTTCCGTATAATTATTGTCAAAACCCCTGATTATTGGCCTCAAACTCTTATTTTCGAATTCTTAGTTCTTAGCAATTTTTAGTGAAATTCTGAAGTATCAAACTAAGAATTTATCAGTCAAAGTTTGAAATATGAATAGTTTACACCCACCCTAGTATGATTAGTAGTAATACTGTCCATTTGATATCGCCGCTAAATTTCTTTATTTTTCTCCTATTGGTGGATTTTTTTAAAGATAGATAGATAGAATGATGATCGATAGATAGCACTGAAGACACATTGAAACCTAATTAGATAATCATTTTTAAAAAAATTAGTATGTTCCTCTATTATCATCGTTGTTTTATAATTTAATGTTAATTATTTTTTTATTTA